CCAGTAAACCTCTCCACCAATGCAATAATCCAAATCAACTAAATTAAACCTAATTAGAAAAAACCCAGGTTCAATGGATACCAATGCTCCTGGGTGGCCTTCTAGCCCCCCAGAGAAGAGCCAGGGAAGGAGACTAGAAAACCACATGTTTGTTCTCTGGGGGCAGTTTAAATACCCTGTGGGTGTGGTCTTGAGCACCTCTGGGGAGGGGCCTTCATTTGGCGGTCTTTCTCAGAGTCTGAACTGAAGCAACTCTCGGGAGAGGGCTTGGAATGGAACTTTCTACCCAAACATTCTAGACTCTTTGGGTATATGGATGCCAGGGGCTAGGGTGACACTTCCAATCAAATATCCCAGACTGTTTGGGTATAGGGGTGCCAGGGGCTGGGGTGATGCTTCCAATCCAACATCAATGTTGATGAAGATGTGAGGGTTATTGCTGCTGCATAGAACAGTAAAAGCCTGACTGGGTTTCAAGGCTGCTACCTACTTTGGCAGCAGCCTGAGACAGGGGTTCAGGGAGGGACCACAGTCCGTGGTAGAGAAAGAAAGAAAGAGAGAGAGAGAGAGAAAGAGAGAGAGAGAGAGAGAGAGAGAGAGAGAGAGAGAGAGAGAGAGAGATACAGAGAGAGAGACACACACAAGCATGTGAGCGCAGGAGTGAACAAGCACAGGGGATTGTTGTGGAGGGGTTGAAGCAGAGACAGGACACTTCTGGTGGGGGTTGCCTGAAGGCAGAACCAGCCAGTCTAGGGCAGGTGAATCCTGTGACATTTGGAGCCCAGGTGCTTCAGGAGTTTGAATAACAGCTGGAGACTGTTTCAAAGAGGCATCAAGAGGAAAATTCTAAACTCACCCAGAGGCTTGGGAAAAAAAGAAGAGAAAGCCTTGCCAGGTAGGGCTGGAGCCCCACATGCAGCTCTAGCCTGTGCCTGTTGCTGTGGTGTGTCTTTCTGTATATATGTTGCTTTTTACTGGTTGATGAATAAAGCTTTTTTGTCCAATGGCTTAGAGCAAAACTGGGTGGGAAATCTGAACAGAGAGAGAGTTGGTGGAGTCAGAGAGATGCCATGAAGATGCATAAGAAGGACATGCTGGAACCTTGCCTGCAGGCCACACCCTCATGGTAATAGATTAAAAGAAATGGATTAATTCAAGATGTAAGAGCTAACTAGAAATATGCCTGAGTCATTGGCCAAACAGTGTTGTAATCAGTATAGTTTCTGAGTGATTATTTTGGTCTGAGCAGCCAGGAAATGAACAAGCAGTCTCCGTCAACAGCCAGTGACTAAAAAGCCTCAGGGAAACGGCTTTTTCTTGAATTTGTACCCCAAATGTGGGTCACCAAAATTAGCACGAATAATAAAAACCCAGAGACAGATATTGGGGTTCAACTTGAGGTCAGAAAAACAAAGCAGCCAAGCCACTAGAAAGCTCTTATCTTTGTGAAATCTTCAGCCTGAAAGAAAGTAAGTTCCTGTCTCAAACTGCCTTATATTTCTTTCTAGTGCTGGGCTTAAAGGCATCCACCACCATTGCCTGGCCTCTATGGCTAACTAGTGTGCCTGCTGGGATTAAAGGTGTGTGCCACCACTGCTTGGCCTTTATGGCTGACTAGTGTGGCTGTTTTCCATTCTGATTTTCAGACAAGCTTTTTTTTTTTTTTATTAAAATACAAATGAAATATCACTACAAGCAGTTCTTTAAAAGACTTTAACACAGATACTTAAATGGATTTCACGTTTGCTAAGGTATATTCCTAAGTAACCCACATCTGAAACAATTGTAAAATAACCCATCTATATTTTCTAAAGCACCAAACAATCCCACACCAGTTAGGATTTAAAGGGGTATTTATTTTGGGGGGTAAAACTCACAATACACCAACCGTCAGGAAAGGAGCCTAGTTGCTGGAGCAGGAGCCAGAGCAGGAGCCAGAACCAAGAGCCGGAATCAAGAGAGCTGACCGGCCAAGGCTTGCTGCTCTTTTTTAAAAGATAAATAGACCATGCTTCAGTGGGCTGGTATTTTAGCAGCTATTACCTGAAGGAGTGGAAGGCGCTCCCGCAGCACAGTGGTCTTGTACTTCAGTGGCTATTGGCTGAAGGAGCGGAAGGTCTTCCTGCAGCAATTTTCAGATCCAAGAAACTGAGCAGTCAACTTTTTTTTAACATCCTTATAATTCTCAGTTGTTGATAGTGTGATTAATTTATGACTAGGAAAAAACGCTGAGTTTTGGAGTATATTTTGGGCATCTGTTACTTACATTTTGAATCTTGAAAGCTTGAATGAGGCCAAATTTTTAAACTCATGACTATTTTTAAGACTTTTACAAATATCAAAATGTTAGAAAAACATTTTGTTTTTTTCCTGTAACAATAACCAGATGAAGTTTCTAATTGATATTTTTAAGTAGTTTGGAAAAATAAAGACTTGAACAATTGAATTGCCACCTTGTAATTTCTAATGAATACCTACATTGAAATGATAATTCAAGATACACACGTACAGCCACATTTCCAAATCAAAAATCAGGTCAAACACTAAGATGTTGACTCTTAGGGAAGAGTAATTGAAAAGTAGGTAGTGTGAACCGCAGAGACAGACTTTGAAATTAAAGGACACAAGTTAATTAAGATACATATTTATTCTAGAAGTGTTTTATCATTTAAAAAAACTAGGTTCATTTTAGAAAGAGTTTAAATACAGCTCATTGAACACCTTAAGCACAGTATCACAATTGAAGGGAGAAGACACAACATTGCAATTTAAAGTATGTAAAATCACAGTCTATTGCAATACCTGTGTTTTCGTTAGGTTTCATATACCAAGAAAATGTAACTTTTTGAACAAAGGGAAAAATGAAGGAAATCCTCAGGCAAAGATGGGGAGGGCTGCTGTTCTAATGCCTTGTATCACAGGAATCAGATTCTTTTTTTTCCCTTTTCTGTATATATTTTTTATTTTTTTTTCCATTCAAATATTTACACTTCCTTCCCTCCTCCCAATCCCCTCCCGCTTCCCCACTCCCCCTCCTCCCTCCACCTTCCTGCTTGAGAGAGGGCAGGGAACCCTGCCCTGTGGGAAGTCCAAGGCCCTCCCCGCTACATCCAGGCCTAGGGAGCTGTGCATCCATATAGACTAGGGTCCCAAAACGCCAGAACATGCCGTAAAAACAAGTTCCAGTGCCTTTATCAGTGGCTTCTCAGTCAGCTCCCATTGTCAGCTATAATCAGAGAGTCCACATTGATCACATGCTCCTTCAGACCCGGTCCAGCTGGATTTGGTGAGGTCCCTTAGAACAAGCACACTGTCTCAGTGGGTGGACCAACCCCTCGTGGCCCTGACTTCCTTCCTCATCTTCTCCCTCCTTCTGCCCTTCAACTGGACCTTGGGAGCTCAGTCCGTTGCTCTGATGAGCGTCTCTGTCTCTATCTCCATCCATCGCCTGACAAAGATTCTATGGTGATATTCAAGTTAATCATCAGTCTTTTAAAAAGCAGACAGGAAAAACAAGCTCTTGAATTGATATTGAAGGTGTTATATGCTGCTGATTGCAGTAAATATGCATATGTAAAACCAAAATGTGAACAAAATTTCCAGTAGCATTTTCTTCATATTACATCTGTCAGAATTACATAGTGTGTATCTATGTCTGTATCATAAGACCATTCTGTCTACAAATGTAAATACTGAGTTTAATAGTACAGCAAACAGAATCCCTAAGTTCAGTATCTTTTTGTGAATTACATTGGTTTTTCTCTTTTTCCCCAACAGCTGCCAACATATTTAGTCTGTCTGCTCCATTTCCCTTTTTTTCTTGGACTTAAGCAAGAACCATATTCCTAGACCAATGAACCAGTTTATTTCTCTTTCTCAAATTCTAACATGGTCCTTGAGTTTCCTTCTGAGTTCATTTCCAAATTCTCCCACCAACAATAATTAAGAGCCACTCATCACCTTCTATTTTGTGAAAGAAAAATTTGGTTGGGGCAGGCTTTGGCCTTTTTCTTTTTCCAGCTTGAGATTCTTGGTGAATTCTAGTTTCCTGGGAAGGTCCATTGTTTGAGTTGTCTCATAGAATGAGGGATACATGCGTCTTTTTAGAATAGCTTCATCAATGTCTGGCTCATCATACCTCTGCATGCTGAGTGCCTAAATGATAAGTGGTGTCACATATCTAGTCCTGTTTGTTTATTCAGGCAGTGGTACTTTGTTTTGTTCCTTTGGTAGGAGTTTTATGTTTCCCTGATTATTTTTGATCTTTTTGGATTTGGTCTGAATTTGAAGGAAAGAAGTATTTTTCCTTCAATATTTACATGTTTGCTGTGATAGCAAACACTATCAGTCTCTCTGTCTAGAGAGTTTAGGTGGATCACCCAGCATATTCTGCTGGTGCCCTTAATGACAGAGTTCTTAGATGACCTGGTCTTTGCTTTGGCTAGCATGTGGGTGGTAGATTTTTATCTATCATCTATCTATCTATCTATCTATCTATCTATCTATCTATCTATCTATCTATCTATCTATTTTTAGGGTTTGGAGGGTCGTGAGAGCTGGTATGGAAGTTGGCTTAGCTTGTCGTCTACAATATTGTTCAGCAGCTAACCTGTCATTGTAGATCTTGAGTTCCATCCATAGAGTCTATTCTGATACTGGGCCTGAATTTTTGGTCTGCAGGTTGGCCATTCTGTTAACCAGGATTACCAACATGTTTGCTCTAAGAGGGTATTTGAACTTAGGTCAAGCTGGGGGACAGGAAGAGTCTTTATGCATGAAATGTTTTTATTTAAGAGCACATGCACACCACTCAGGAATAATAATTTTGCCATAATTATTGTTTAATGATACTATCTTTTGCAATATATTGACCATTACACGTTAAACAGGAATTATTGAATAATGGAGCATTTATATTAAACATTCAGTGCTTAATTCAGTGACTCTGACAATAAGTATTTTAATAATATTAACTGATATATTTATCTTTGCTTTTCTAGTGATATGCAGCTTTCGAGGTTCTGTCCCTCAAGGACTGGTCTTAGAAATAGGAGAAACAGTTCAAATTCTTGAAAAGTGTGAAGGTAAGTGTGGTCCTATAAAACACATAAATAGTGATCAATTATGGAAGTGTTGCAATTATGCTGATAGATTTTTTAGAAATCTTTGTGAAACTATTATTAACCATATTAAATACTGTTATGAAATCTTCCCTAAAGGTTGAAGTTTTTAGTTTTAATGAAGTAACAGACATTTCTGGCACAAGAATACTGATATTACATATAATGTCCAATGATTATTTTAGATTTATTAAAATATACTTATACTTAACTGTATTTGAGTGAATTGTAAATTGGTTCATTTTTGTTTTTCTGTCAAATAGACTAGATATTTTTAGCTGTAAAAGGTCTAAATACATGCTTTTCTTACTTAGGGTTTTTATTGCTGTGAAGAGACACCATGACCATGGTAACTCTTATAAGGAAAACATTTAATAGTTTTCAGAAATTCACTCTGAAACTATTAGTTTCAGAGGTTTAGTCCATTATCATCATAGGGAGCATGGTGGCATGCAGGCAGACATGGTGCTGGGGTAGTAGCTGAGAGTACTGTATCTTGAGGACAATAGGAAGTCAACTGAGACACTGGGTGGTATCCTGAGCATGGGAGAAACCCAGGTTTTCTTTTTTGTTCTTTTCCTTCTCTCTCTCTCTCTGGTGTTTGTGAAAAGATAAATAAAAAACCCCCAAAAACAAAATATAGTTTCTGAAAAACAATAAGGAAAGAAAAATATTAGATCTAAATTAAATATAACACTCCAAGATGTATGGACTAGAGTAGAGAAAGTTATAAGAGGGAACTTTATAGTTATTAAAATGTCCACATTAACAAAGAAACAAGACATCAACTAAATGTATTCTCAAGTTCTAGAACCTGGAATAAGCACAAGAAAAAAATAATAGAGGGCTGTAAAGCTGGGTCTGTAGTTAAGAGCGCTTACTGCTCTTGCAGAAGATCTAAGTTAAATTTCTTTTTCTATGTCTCTCTATATGACAGTATATGATAAGATTCATGCAAGATGAAACTTGCCCCGATTTAGATGTATTTTCTCAGTTAGATTCAGAATGTGATTTAGTGGCAGTGTCCCTGCCTAACACATTCTAGGCATTTGGGTTTCATCCCTAGCACTATTCAGAAGGAAATAAATAGTGACAGCCACATTGTAAGAACAAACAAAATATGAAAATAGAGTAATAGCTAATTTAAAATAAAAACTCCTACAGCATCACTAAGAATAGCAAAGAAAGGGTAAAATAAATAATGAGGTATGATTGAGCATCCTTTGGATATATGCCTAAGTGTGGTATTGCTGGGTCCTGAAGTAGAATGATTCCCAATTTTCTGAGAAATGCCATATTGATTTCCAAAGTGGCTGTATAAGTTTTTACTCCCACTAGCAATGGGAGAGTGTTCCCCTTACTCTGCATCATCTCCAGCATAAGCTTTCATTAGCATTTTTGATCTTAGCCATTCTGACATGGTATCTCATAGCTGTTTTGATTTGTATTTTCCTGATAGCTAAGGATGTTGAACAGTTCTTTAAATGTCTTTTGGGCATTCAAGATATTTCCATTAAGAATTCTATTTAAATCTGTACCCCATTTTTTAATGGGGCTATTTGGTATTTTGATGTATAGTTTCTTAAGCTCTTTATAGATTTTGGATATCAGTCCTCTGTCAGATGTGGGATTAGTGAAGATCTTTTCCCATTACGTGGGCTGCCTTTTTGTCTTATTGACAGTGTTCTATGCCTTACAGAAGCTTTTCAGTTTCCGGAGGTCCCATTTATTAATTGTTGCTCTCAGTGTCTATGCTACTGGTGTTATATTCAGGAAGTAGTCTGTGCCAATGTTAAGGCTACTTTCTGCTTTTTCTTCTGTCAGCTTCAGTGTAACTGGTTTTATGTTGAGGTCTTTGATCCACTTGGACTTGAGTTTTGTACAGGGCAATGGATATGATCAGTTTGCATTCTTCTACATGTTGACATCTAGTTATGCCAGCACCATTTGTTGATGATACTTTCTTTTTTTCTATTGTATATTTTTGACATCTCTGTAAAAAATCATGTGTTGATAGGTGTGCAGATTTGTGTCAGGGTCTTCAGTTCTATTCCATTAGGCCATGTGTCTGTTTTTATGCCAATACCAAACTTTTCTTATTACTGTAGCTCTATAGTAGAGCTTGAAGTCAGGGATGGTGATACCTCCAGAAGTTCCTTTCTTGTACAGGATTGTTGTAGCTATCCTGGATTTTTTTGTTTTTCCATATGAAGTTGAGTATTGTATTTTGGAGGTCTGTGATATTGGGATTTTGACGGGGATTGCATTGAATCTGTAGATTGCTTTTGGTAAAATTGCCATTTTCATTATGTTAATCATATCTCCAAGAGCATGGGAGATCTTTTCATTTTGTAATGTCTTCTTCAATTTCTTTCTTCAGTGATTTAAAGTTCTTGTCATACAGGTTCTTTACTTGTTTGGTTAGAGTTACCCCAAGATATTTTATGTTATTCGTAACTATTGTAAAGGTGATGTTTCTCTGATTTCTTTCTCATCCCATTTATCATCTATGTCCTACTGATTTTTTTGGGTTAATCATATATCCTGCTACATTACTGAAGGTGTTTATTTGTTGTAGGAATTACCTTGCAGAATTTTTGGGGTCTCTTACATATGTTATTATGTCATCTGCAAATTGTGAAAGTTTGACTTTTTCCCTTCCAATTTGTATCCCCTTGATCTCCTTTTATTGTCTTACTGCTCTAGCTAGAACTTCAAGTTCTATATTGAATAGATATGGAGGGAGTGGACAAACTTGTCTTTTTAATGATTTTAGTGGAATCACTTTGATTTTCTCTATTTATTTTAATGTTGGCTGTTGACTTGCTGTTTGTTGCCTTTATTTAGGCATGTTCCTTGTATTCCTGATCTCTCCAAGAAATTTATCATGAAGGGGTATTGAATTTTGTCTAAGGCTTTTTCATCATCTACGGAGATAATCATGTGTTTTTTTTTTCCCCTTTCAGTTTGTTTATATGGTGGATTACATTGATGAATTTTCTTATTGTTGAAGCATCCCTGAATCTCTGGGATGAGGCCTGCTTGGTCAGGGTGGACAATTTTTCTGATGTGTTCTTGGATTTGGTTTGCCAGTATTTTATTGATTATTTTTGTGTCAATGTTCACAAGGGAGATTGATCTGTACTTCTCTATCTTAGTTGTGTTTTTGTGTGGTTTGGGTATCAGGGTAACTGTAGCCTTGTAAAAAGAGTTTGGCAATGTTCTTTCTGTTTCTATTGTGTGGAACAATATGAGGAGGGTTGGTGTTAGATTTTCTTTGAAGTTATTATAGAATTCTGCACTGAAACCATCTGACCCTGGGCTTTTTTTGGTTGGGAGACTTTTGATGACTGTTTTTATTTCCTTAATTGTTATAAGTCTATTTATTTTGCTTATCTGGTCTTGATTTAATTTTGGTAGGTGATATTTATCCAGAAAATTGTCAATTTTCTTCAAGTTTTTTCAATTTTGCGGAGTATAGGTTTTCAAAATATGACCTAATGATTCTCTGTATTTCCTCCGTGTCTGTTGTTATGTCCCCCTTTTCGTTTCTGATTTTGTTAATTTGTATGTTCTCTCTTTGCTTTTTGGCTAGTTTGGATAAAGGCTTGTCTATTTTGTTGATTTTCTGAAAACCCAATTCTTTGTCTCATTGTTTTTTGTATCATTTTCTTTGTTTCTATTTGTTGATTTCAGCCCTCAATTTGATTACTTCCTGTCATCTAGTTCTCCTGCTTGACTTTTTTTTTTTCTAGAGCTTTCCATGTGTTCTGTTAATTCTCTAGTGTGGGATTTTTTTTTCCAGCTTCTTTATGTATGCATTTAGTGCTACAAACTTTCCTCTTAGCACTGCTTTCATTGTGTCCCATAAGTTTGAGTATGTTGTTTCTTTATTTTCATTGAATTCAAGGAAGACTTTAATTTCTTTCTTCCTTGACCCTGTGGCGATTCATTTGGGCATTGTTCAGTTTTCATGAGTTTGTGGGTTTTCTGTAATTAATTTTGTTGAATTCTAACTTTATGCCATGATGATTCAGTAAGACACAGGGGGCTATATCAGGTTTTTTTTTTTGTTTCTTTTTTTTTGTTTGCTTTGTTTCTGAATATGTGGTCTATTTTAGAGAAGGATCCATGAGGTGCTGAGAAGAAGGTATATTCTTTTGTGTTTGGGTTAAATATTATATAGATGTCTGTCAAGCCCATATGAGTCATAACATCTGTTAGTTTCTTTATTTCTATGTTAAGTTTCTGTCTACCAGACCTGTCCAGTGGTGAGAGTGGTGTGTTGAAGTCTCCCACTGTTAGTGTGTGGGGTTTGATGTGTGATTAAGCTTTAGTAATGTTTCTTTAATGAATGAGGGTGCTCTTGTATTTGGGGAATATATATTCATTATTGAGACTTTATCTTGATGGATTTTTCCTTCTTTGTCACTTTTGACTAATTTGTCTGAGATTCTTTCTTATATCTCTTGTATTCTCTTGTTTATGCTTGCTTCTGTAGTTCCTGATTGTTTACTCAGATTTTCCATTTCCAGATTTCTTTTGGTTTGTATTTTCTTTATTGCCTCTATTTCAATTTTCAAGGCTTGAGCTGGTTTTTTTTTCACCTGTTTGATTGCTTTTTCTTTTCTTTCTTTTTTTTTTAAGGATTTGGTTGATTTCTTTCATTTTTTGTTTGTCTTTTCCTCCACTTTAAGGGAATTTTTCATTTCTTCTTTAAGGGCCTCAATTATCTTAATAAAGTTATTTTTGAGCTCATTTTCTTCTGTTTCATCTGTATTGGGATGTTCTGGTCTTGCTGCTATAGAATCAGTAGTTTCTGGTGGTGCTGTATTGCTCTTTAGATTGTTGAGTGTATTCTTTTTTTTGTATTTTCTATTTATTTATTTATTTATTTATTTATTTATTTATTTATTTATTTAAGATTTCTGTCTCTTCCCCCC